ATTTATATTGTAAGTGTTTGTTCTAATTTATTACAATTTTTATCTTGAGGTTTAATTATGATGATTTGTTTTAATTTTTATCGTAAAATATAATTTAATAATTTGTATATTATGTATTATATCAATTCATTAATTTATAATATAATAATTTTTGACAAAAACAAAAGAACTAATATTCGTTAATTTATAACATAATACTAATTTATGAATTATTTTCTAATTTTTTTATGTATATAGATTGGATTGTCCGAAGCCGGATTTTATAATCCCCAAAGTAATTCATGGAATTCTATTTTACAATTACCTGAAAAAAAAGAAGGATCTGCTGTTTGCACATTAAATAATAGTATTTATATAATTGGTGGTAATGAAAATGACAATTATTGTAAAAGTGTATGGGCATATTGTACAGAAACCAAAGTATGGGAGTCTGTTGCTAATTTGAATTTTCCCCGATCACACTCAGGTATAACTAATAAGTATATATATAAGTATATGTATAATAAGTATATAGTAGAACCTCGATTATTCATGTTTGCGAATAACCGTGCTTATTCTTCCAAAAATGCATATATACCTTAAGATATAGGTGTATAAGCAGTATATTGAACATAGGTTAAAGATAACAAATTATATTGATTTCATAAATAATGTTTTTACTATATTTTAAATATATTTATGGTAGTTGGTATCCTCCTGAACTTTTGCAAGTAGGAACATTTTCACTTTCCTGATATCATGAATTTAAGAATAATAATTTCAAACAGCAAAAAATAAAGACTGATTACTTCAAATTTCCAGCCCTAATAATTTTATAACATGAAATTAAGTATTTACTGAACAAGGGTAGGTAAAATGTAATAATAAGTAAAGAAAAATTAAAATAAATTTGTTAAAAAAAAGTCTATTAACTTTGATTCGTATTATTCATCCGTATGATTCTTCCCTAGCATTACCTCAAATAATCGAAGTACTACTGTAATTTTCATATTCTATAATATATATTTTAATTATTATTTGTTAATAGGTGCTGTATCTATGAATGGTTTAATTTATGTATTTGGTGGAAAAACAGGTAATAATTCTTATTCAAAAACGTTTGAAGTTTATAATCCTCATTATAATGAATGGGTGACTTCAAATGCTCTTATGAATTTGGATCGATGCTATATTGATGCAATTGTAATTGAAAAAAGTTGTATTTTATATAAAAAAGTATTTGAAGATGCTACTAATAACATTATTCATTAAATTGTTTTGATATACGTTGCAAATCCTAGTTAGTACATAAGTACAATAATTTAATTATGTTGAAAATATGAAGCATAAATTCAAAAGAATTTTTATGAAAAGTTAGTCTTAATTAAAAATTGCTACTCATATACTAAATATTAGGTATTTTTGGTAATTCTTTTATTTTAAATTATATTTAAATAAATGTTAAGTAAATAATTTTATTAAGTATTATTTCTTCCATAATTAGTGGCAATTTTACTGTTGGTGGAGGGTTTGTTTGGTTCTCCCCCAGTTCTCGAGTTTAGGCTAATATATATTTGTCGCTTGGGACGCTTGGGTTTAAAATGTTATGTCATGTTTTTTCATTAATAAGAATTAAATTTCAGGAAATAAGAAATGAAATATAAGAATTAAATTATAAGTAATGGTATTAATGTGGTTAAATTGTAACTGTAGTTACTATAGATTATATAGATCTGAAAAAAAACAGAAGTGCTACATTTGAACTCAAGGGTGCTAAAAACCCTATTGTACCCCCCCCCCTTAGTTGCGCCTATGTGTTAATTTAAATTCTATATCCTTCACTATTGAACTTAAACATTTTCTGTTAGCTTCCTAGTTATTCAGATGGAATGCTGTTACTATAATTTTGGTCAGGTTATGTCATAATTTAAATGTTATTTAGTATTTTTATTATTTATAAACGTGTATATATTGTGTGTTTTCAATTTCATTTAGTTCTGAAAAACTATGCATATATTGTCATCATAAATTAATTTTTCGCACACCATCTGACATGTCATGCAAGCACATGTTAAAAAATATTAGGTATTTGACGTAATTTTTCCTCGAATAACAACCATTAATTGATAAATTATTGATTGTTCATTTTTGATTAAAAATTATAATAAAATTAAGTTAGATAACTAAATTATTTATCTGTGATTTTTCATCATTAGTCAAATCTATAAATATTTTTATATTTATGCAACAATGTTTGTAAAGTATTTCAATTTACAAAGGAACCTTTAAAGTTGTTCCTTACTTAATTCCGATTCACATTAGTAGTCTTGATTTGGTCCAATCACGGTCAAAGATTATGGTGTAAAATTCACGTAATTGGTTATAGACAATCAAATCTTGTCGGTTCTATCATCATCATTAGGCGCAAGGGCGTACCATGGGGAAAGGGGTTCGGGTCCGGACCTCCCATTGAAATTTCTACATATTCAACGATTTAATAGTAAATAGTATAATAATAGTATATAGCGTATTTTAATTTCCCATTATCAGATAAAATAAAAATTTTAGATCCCCCTCATAAAAAATTCCTGGGTACGCTCCTGATCAGGCGTATTGTGAACCTTTTGTGGACGTGTTCGAAACCTATTTCAATGTTGTTTTGTACACGTACTTTCATGAAATATCATTAATTCTTGCTGAAGAAGAAAAATAAAGAGAAAGTAAACCAAGAAGACAGTATTCACTTATTAGTCTAAACTCGTCAAAGATAATATTCAGTGTTCTGTTTCCAATGAATAAACAATGTCGCTAAATTTTATAAATATTTTAGAAATTTCAAGTGAAATACATGAAAATGATGTCAAAAATTGAAATTTATTTAAAAAAAAATGTGTCCACATTTCGTCTACAGAAAATCTATGTGTGTGACTGTCAACTGATGATTCAATAAACTCTTGATCACCATGGTCTAAATCGCGCATCTACTAATCGTGACTGATAGAATTTGTCTATGATCTGACCATGACCAATAGTTGTGTACATTGGATTACGTGCTACCGATGTTGATAGGACCAAACCAAGAACCTTAATGTAAATCGGGCCTCAAACTTAAAGTTTTCTTATTGAATTTTAGATGTGCTGAGTTACTCGTTGATTCATTTACTGTTTTTACTTTATATTTATAAATATAAATATATATATATATATATATATATATATATATATATATATATCGCCTGTATTATTTAAACTATTATAACTTACAATTTGGGCATTAAAGTTATTTTTGAATGTATTAATTCCTTTTTATTTTGTTTAAGAAATATTCATAATTTATTTGTTTGTATGCTTAAATATATTTAATATAACTATATGTGTGTGTCAATATTTTACATCTTATTTAAGATCAAAATCTAATTATTTTCTAAAGTTGCAATTACATTGATATTCCATTAGAATTTTAAATAACACATTTAAAATAAACTACATATTTTTATGTATAATAATTTTTCTATAATATATACAATTCCAACAATAATTAGTTTGAATTAAGATATTTATTCAATTTCTTGTTATAGGTATGAATACTATTATTTTATTCTTTATTTTGTTGTTTGACAATTGTTATTATTTTGTTTGATTAGTATGTAATACAATTTTATTTTGCCATTCAAACTGACGTTATTTATTGTATATCTATTATCAAACTAGCTAACTATTATTAATTATTATTTTAACTATTTTTTATTTGCATTTTATGTAATATATTTTGTATTTATTTAAAGATATAAAATATAATTTTAATAAACAAATAAAGTGAACATTATTTTGTTTTATTTCTTTTTAAAATATACTGTAGGTTTAAACAGGACAGAGTAATTTTTACTTTTGAATTAATAAATATCTGCACCATACTGATAGAGATATACACATTTTTCTAAAGATCAATATGTAACATGGTTACATATTGAGTGATACAGTCAATGCTTTTATGATTTATTACTTAGCTTTCCCAGTGTGGAAGGGTGTTAACACTTTTTGGTAGATGCTCGTAAGTAATAAATATTAAAACATTGGGATGTCATGATCAATACTGGTACTGTGCTGGCAAAGCCATGATGTATGGTAACCCTAAGGTAAACATATCTGAAAAGTCTATGTTCTATCAAAATATAATATTTTTAATTTTTATTTATTTAACAATTACATAAATGCTTTCCAAACTATTTCGACTCACGGGTCTTTTTAAACTAAGATTTTCTTAAAGGCGCTTATCCTCAAGTCATAGCATGACTAATTATAAGGAACATTTGTTTTTAGACCCGATAATAATTAATGGCGGCGCGGCGTACACTTTGGAAATCGCTGAATTACACAATTTTACAATCGCACACGATACTCAGTAGTTAGACACTTAATATAATATCAAAATATATTAAAATACTCATTAACAATTGGGTTTCAAAAATAATTGTTTGAACTGTAAAATAGTACTTCATAATTCTACACGTAGAAATGATCATCCTTTTGTTGTTTTTTTTTTTTATGACAAAATCGATTCTTATATAATTTCAAATAACTTATATTATTTTCACTTCCATTTCAGGATAAAGATTAATAATTTTTATTATCAAGACATTAAGCAATGATCTGAATGTTTGAACACACTACATATTTGGGATTAAAATGGTAGTGTTCATTGGAATTTCAGAATATTCAAATCGGTGTAGTAGTGAAACCTAAGTAATGAGATTACAAATATGTAAGCATTTAAAAATATATTTAAATTTTCAGATATTAATATTCAATTGATAGTATTACTTAATAAATATTATATTGCATGAGATATAATGAAATATCAATTAATGATAACAGTAAATTAAGCAAGTGTCTTTGAATTTTAATAATAAAATTCAATTACAACTTCTTTGATTTTATATTCACCATTACATACTATAGTTACATTTTAATGTTGCTCATTAGTGGTAACACTGTAATCTAACCACATTTTGATTTGTTTTTTATACTTCCACAATTTTGTAGGTTCGGACTCTTTGGATTTGGCTATTTTCGTAATTGTCTTTTATTTTTTCAAAATTCATTGATTTCTCTTAATTATTCAGTGATCAACTACTTTAAGGTAATGTATTAAATTTATCGAAATATCATCTAATCGTAAATTATTCTAGATTTTTCAGATTTTAGTTAAATATAAATTATTTTTCTTAACCTCAATAACACGTTTCATTCCATATTAAATATCAACATTTTGCCAAGTCGCTAAATTCTTATTAATAATATTTTGTTTTGTTGTTCTTTTATTGCACTACAGATGTCGTCGATTACATTGAAGGATGTTGACCAGCACAAATTTGTTGCATCTTTTTCTGCATTCTTGAAAAAGTAAAGAATTCGGTTTTTGTATTGTAGTGTCATTAACGATGATTTAACAAGTAAAACATATTATTTCTTGTTATATTTAGAAGTGGTAAGTTGAAGCCCCCAGAATGGGTTGACTTGGTGAAAAATGGTAAATTCAACGAATTAGCTCCATATGATGAAGATTGGTATTTCACTAGGTGTGCTGCCACTTTAAGACACATATACTTCAGGTCGCCTGTTGGTGTTGGATCTCTTACCAAAATTTTTGGAGGTATGATTACTCATAAAAATCATTAAATAAATTTGTAGATACCTTGGTTTAAAATATAAAATAACTGGAATCTGTGGTAAATGGAATAACCTTTTTTTAGAAATAATTTTATTTTTATTATTATTATCGTTCAATATAATTTCGTTAATTTTATATTCGCTGATCTTATCAATATCTACGATGGGAACTGAATGAACGTAGAAGACAACTTATAACTCAAAATAACCAACATGAAGTCCAGTATTGAAATCCATATTCATTCAATACAGTATTAACGATCTCATTAAATTATTAATTTATATTCATTATAATTAGTAATAACTGTTAATATTTTGTTATATTATTTTTGTGCATTAAATTCTTAAGTACTTGAGTATTTTAAATTAATAAAATAAATTATAAAAAAAGGTTATTAAGTCAAGTGGGGTATGTGAATATTTTTCATAATGTGTTAAGTAGTATGTGGTTAAAAAAAAGTTGGAAATCACTGATGTAGAACATCAACTAATATAATAGGTTGAGTATTATCAGTACTGTAGTTTCATAATCTTAGTCTATACATTTTCAATGGTTAGTATATTATTAGGGAACGGATTTATATGTAATAAAAATACAGAAATATGTACATATGTTTGTAAGTATAATTTATAAAATATGTGCTAAAAACATACAAATATGTAGGAAAAAAATTTAATTAAAAAAAAAATTATAATTATTAAATTATCAAATATTAAATGTTGCCTATTAGATCTGAAAATATTTTTAAAATGGCTAAATGATTGTTTCACATCATCCTACATCGATTGATTAAAACATAATTGAAGCGCATTATATCAGAAGGCAATAATTCCATTTTGGGTATCTGAAACTCATTATGTCATTGATTGATTGAAAATTACTATAGCCTGGAATTTTTTTCTTTAACAGCATGCATTTTCTTTTTTATAACATCTATTGGTCTGCTTACGAGTTTTTACTTTGCAATCGTTAATTTGACAATTAGTATACTTTCATTTAAAGACATATTTTTGTTTCTAAATCTGTAAATGTATGTGCAATAAAACTAAAATTCTCTGAGATGAAAAATAAATTAGTTTTTAATGTTTCATTTTGCATAATATTTTGAGCTTTTCTAATAGCGATAGAAGTTACTAGATCTAAATTTGAAATAATTTCTTGTAATTTTGTACGAAGAAGACGTATGAATGATGAAATTATAAAATATGTTTAAAAATATTTAAAAATTAGTTGAATATGTAAAAATATGTAAAATAAAAATAGCATCATATTAATAGGAATGATTTAAATCATAAATATTTCTTATCGCATATTAAATATCTCTTTTTAATAAAAGTATGTATTTACATATAAATCCGTTCCCTAGTTATTATAAATAATAATAATACAGTATTTTAGTGAAAAATATTATTAAAATTTCAGTGTTAAATTTTTAGTAAATAAAAAAAACTTCTGAAGACTTGGAAAATTTTAACAACATTGGCTTTATAAGTCTGGTCACGCCTATGATTTTTAATTAGAAAGTATGAAAAGAATCATAGTGGACTCAGGCCCTGATTTAGTGACATAGGGGCCCTGTGCACTATTAACTTTGGGGGCTATAGTTTCAGAGGAAGAGCAGTTAACAGATTTTGATAGTGAACCGCTTAACTTTTTGTTTTCTTCTTCACGTTTGTTTTTCAACTTTTTTTTTTTCATATCTAGAAGCATATTTTCTTTTGGATGACATTATAAATAATAAATAACAACAATAAATCACAGACTTAAAAGTCTTAGTTTTTGGTAAGTGGTTTTTATTGTTTATAAACATTATTACCATTGATAATATCATTGAGTATTATTAGTATTATCACTGACCGATAACTCATCGACTGATATAACTATCAATGGCTTATTAGTGATTAGTGTAAACCGTATGAAAACTACGCATGCTGCGGCCTCCTTAAATAGGTTATAGTTACTACTTACTAAATCTTATTAAAAATATCTTTTATTTATGGTAGCAAAGTATAGAATATGAAGGCCGAAGGGGCCCTTCAAATTTGGGGGCCCTGTGCTAGTGCACCGCCTGCACATGCATAAATCAGGGCCTGAGTGGACTCCTTTACAAAATAATAAAATGTATAACTAAAATTGATGAAATTTCAATCAGCAAAAGTTCTAGTCAAAAATATTGATTTTTTTCTTTGTGCTTAAGATTTTTATGGCTTTTTTGCTTAATATTAAAAGTTAAAATAATTTTTGTTAAATAACATTTTAAAATAATTTTTTTAAATTATAAATTAATTATTTATACTTTTTTTTATAAATAAGCTACATTACCTATTTAATATAGCATGTACTATACTGAAATGTTTCTTGAGTCAAGATTTTTGGTCCTGGCACCATTCCTTATTAAAATAATGCATTATGCTCATTTAAATAATGGATTTCTCTAGATAATGAATTTATGTTTGCAAATAAACAAACGTTTCGTACTTGTCCTCAGTTTTGTATCATGATCAGTATTATTAAAATCATTGTTTTCTTTGCATCTACTACATGTTTTATTTATTTTTTACAGCACGCAAACGTAATGGAGTGAGACCATCCCATTTTTGTCGCAGTTCTTCTGGAATTGCCCGTAAAGTTCTTCAATCTTTAGAGCAAATGAAACTCATCGAGAAGGCTGATAATAATAATGGCCGTCGATTGACTTCTCAGGGTAGGCGAGATTTAGACCGAATTGCTGCTCAGGTAAAACAAGCTAAAAAGAAGAAGCAAGCACAGTTGGCTGCAGAATCTGCAGGATTCTCAGTGCTTATTCCAAAAACTGATTAAAAATTAAGTGTATTTATTTTTGTGTAAGATTGGTACATTGTTGAAAGTAATAAATACACTTTTTTTTAAATTAAATTTTACAATTATTTTTTTTAATTATTATCCTACTCCACTCTATTTTAATAATATATAGAATTATAATTTTAGATCCTTATAGATATATGCTTACACTTTTCATGTTTTTGCAATCTCAGAAGAAAGGAAATATACACTGTCTATTCCAAGAAGAAAAAATAAATAAAAATTATTTGGCTAACATTGCAGTGTCATTTTAATTAAATTTTTTTATTATTCACATTTATATACAATGTACCATACCTATCATACATTTTTTAGAAAAAAAATAAATTAACTAAGAAGGTGACATTAATTTTTCTTAGTAATTTTATGAGAATTGTGACAGTTCCAAATGTATAGATCGGTCGATCTACATCTTAAGCATCAATGAATATAGTATTACAAGTTTCTGATACAGATAGCTACTAGAAGAAAAATTTTAGTTTTTCTCAACATACTCTAATATAAGCTACTGATCACATATGCACTTCTCAAGTCTGTTCAACTGGAATAATTGAAAGACAGGAAACAAAGCTGACAACTAATTTAGTATACAATGTCTGATCCTTAAAAACCTTGCATGTTTATTATATAATTTACTGATAAATATAAATCGAATTAAGCAACATATGAATAAAAACATTTGGAGTCTTGTTTTCAATTATTGAAATCATAAAGATTTATTACTTCTAAATTAATTATATATAATACATACTGAATAGATTAATTTATTCTATGGTTAACATTGCTTAATTTATGAGATAAAAAAAATTATGATATTTTTTGTTTTATTGAAGTGTATATTATTATAATAAATAATTATATATTTTCAATATTAATATATAGTTTCTCCAACAGATCTTATTGTTAACTCGCATACCTAAAATAAATTAAATCAAACATTTCAGTTAATTTAATCAAAATGATGTATATTTACTTGAATACTTGGTGGTGTGCCTAAAATGTATAATGCAGCATTGGCAACATCTTCAGCTCTTACAAATGTAATTTCGGGCTTTGACGCCAGAAATGATTTTGTATGCTCAGTTAAAGTTAAACCAGGACTTAAACTCTAGATTAAATCAATAATCATACATATTAATTATTTAGTTATTAATTATTTAAACAACCGTGGCAGTACATTTTAAATAAATGTATTAAGAAATTACATTAAATTTGTTTATATATATATATATATATATATATGTTATGGGCAAAGTATACAGTGCCCGGGCATTTTATACATTGTAAGGACAGTATACAAAATGCCCTTCGTATATTGGGCAATATAGATAAGGAATGATATGATTTAATGAATATGATAAATCGTAAAATATTGTTATAATAAAGTTAAATTATTATGTGTAATTAGATTGTGTGTTCTTATCGTATTTTTACAATGGGAATGTCCGCTTGTCCAAATATACGCGTGTACGCGACATAATATATTATTACTATATTTACTGATTTATAAGTTATATTAAATTGTAGTGATTATCGTGCAGTCGGCCTTTTACCTATTCTCAAAAATGAACTATTTAGTAACCGTGAATCGTTTGTATAGTGCAGATTAATTTATTCAGTGCGTACGTAACTACTTATTCGAATATGGAAAAGTTAAATGAAAATTTAAACAATTTGTTAAAAAAAAAAAAAGATTTAAATACTTCATCTTTTACCAAGTTAAAATTTGATCAGTTAATTTTACATAAAAATCAATTAAAAAACAATTCAAAGAAAAAGGAACCGAATGATTATAAACTTTTAAAAAAATATGACGTGTTAAAAGTTTCTGATGTTAATAAGTTAATTGTACCAGTATCTGAAAACAACAAAATTAAATATTATGTACATAATGAAGAGTTATTTGATGTTATACATAAGGTTCATTTATCGATTGGACATGGTTGATGAAACAGGATGGAACACGAGGTAAATAGAAAATATAAAAATATCACCAGAGATATGATTATGCTATACTTAAATAGTTGCGAATCATGTAAAAGAAAAGGAAGCACAGCCAAGAAAGGATTGGTGGTGTAATTTATATCTACTGAGATGAATTAATCAATAATATCATCTGTTATCTATATTGCCCAATATACGAAGGGCATTTTATATACTGTCTGGACAATGTATAAAATGCCTAAATTGTATACTTTGCCTGTAACATATATATATAAGGGACTCACTGTTATTTTAATTTTACTTCCGTCTTGAACTAACATTCTTCTAATGGTATCAGTTGTTAACGTAATACAGTGTTTGCTAGCATTGTGTATGAGAGCTTTTGTTGGTTCAGATCTATAGTGACCCGCTACACTATATTGCAAATTAATTATTTTAAATTTTATAACATATCTTATAAACTACCTAGCATTTATAAATACTTTTTTGAGTTTTTGTAAGTATAATCATTGTAAAATTCTAATGATTATAATTTTATACTGAATCTAATAAGTGGCTTCTTTAGATTCATAAATTTAGGCAATAACAAAGTTTCGAAAATACCATAATTAATTACTAATCCATGATTTCTTATATTTTAAAGAACCAATTAAAGAAAATATATCAAGTTTAAGGAATACCAATTATCTATATACAAACAAATCTTACATTATTGACTAACCGCATACAAATATAAATAATTGGCAATGTTGGAAAGCTTGAGTAAAGCACGAATTAAATGCAAATACATAAATTTGTAAACATGTATTTAATGTATACTAATATAGTTTGAATACCTACCTATTTATATTGATAATATGTCCATCATCAATACCTTTTGATTTCATTGCTTTTATAACTTCTTTAGTGAAAATACATCCACTTAAATAGTTTGTTTCCATGATCATTTTAGCATGCTCCATAGTTTCATCTGGAATATTAATTATTATTTAATACTATTTTATTTTTAAATAATTAATTACCAACAAGACATATGCATAAAATCTGTTAAAACTGTATTTTTATCAAAAAACTATACATACTATTAACAAATTGAAAACTCAGAGCGGTATTAACTTTTTCTTTTAAGTTTCAGACCCTTTTTCTGAGTGTATTTTCAATTAGAATTAATTAATTTAATTACAAAAAATTAAAACAGTATTTTTGAAAATTAATAGCCAAAAAATGTTTTGGAAACAGCATATTGTATATTGGCTGACGAAAATTAAAAAATTCTTAAACTGAAAATACATTTCTTTGAAATTCAAGACCAAAATAAGGTCTCCTGTCAGTCTGTTCGGATCATGCTACCAAGTTAATCTATATTATTATATATTATGCTTCACACATATGATTTGCCAAGACCAGGTTAGGTATATAATGAGTTCCTATAAATCCTGAGTGGATTATTAGAAATCCAAGTAAATTAATAAAACATATTTTTTCTCAGCCAAATATTTTAATACCTAGGTACTATTTGTTTCTTCAATAGTTAAATCTAATAATTTTTTTTTTTATTTATAGTAAATATAGCCTAGAAAGTGAATTTTTCATAACTATTTTTTAATTACCAATTAATCCAGCCAAGTCAAAATTTCCTACATTGTTTACCAAAACATCCACACTCCCGCAGATTTTTATAGTCCATTGAACACATTCGATTATATCTTGTTCATTTCTTACATTGAATGATTTATAATAAAATTTACCATGAAGATTGGAAACTTCGTTTTTTAATTTCTAAGATTTAATAAATACAACAAATATTAATATAATCCGTTTAGATAATTGCGAAACTATTGTATTATAAATGTGGGCGCTTACCACCAAAAGATCTTCTCTTCTAGCAATACCTACAACAACCATGCCACTTTTTAACAGAGCTATTGTTATAGCTTTTCCTATTCCGCCACTTGCACCAGTTACAATTGCCACTCTATTAATCCACCTTTCCATATTTAAAAAAAATGTCTTTTAATTTATTGAAATAAAAAATTATTTAAAATGAACTTAGCTGTGTAAATGTATAAGTATGTATGGAACGTTTAATTGTCGTGGTATAGAGATATGTAACTAAACATTGATTGGTTTGATTATTACGTGAGTTAACACATAGTGTTTATACTGTTGAGTAACTGGAAGGAGTATCGCCTTTCTTTTTATTGTTGATTACATAACGACTAAGTATTTTTTAAGAATCGTTTAAAGTTAAACGCATAGGCAATACGCCCTTCTATTAAGTAATATCTTAAATAACTTTTCTACTCTTCATCACATATTTTAAGTGTAAATAACTTGATGAACTAAATAGCTTGTACGTGTACCTACCTACGTAATGAATGAAAGTAAATTTTAAATCCCACTCCCGTATAAACATAATCAATTAGTGTCGATGATACTAAAAACAAGTACTGATCATGCATATATTTATTTTATTTAAAAAAGTGTATGAATTTGTACTGGCGTCCAGTCTTATATCTTATATTTATGGCCTTATGACTTGGTATTTTGTGCAGCGTCACCGTACCAAAGTCGGGACTTTTTCCAAGTGTTTTATATTTTTTGATTTAAGTACACTTTTTTTTTCAATATTTTTATTTCTAATTATTTGGTAAAATAATAATTAATATATGTAAATTCACACTATGTAGAAAGAATTTTGCAACAACAGCACTTATTCTGATTATATATTTAAATCATAATTCAGAACATACTTGATATTCTAACAATTAAAATTTATCTGTGAAGGGGTGTTGAATTCCAGTAACATTTCTGGATACTGAACTGTATGTAAATATTTCATTTCTTCAAAGAAGAGGACTAACGGCCAGCAAAACTAATTACTCTAAAATAAGCTCATAATCAAATATTTAATTTTCATCGGCTGATAATAATGATACTGGCTCTATTTTTAACAAATCAAATTATAAATATATTTTAGTTTGATGGATACAGGACTATTGCTGGGAGGGAGGCAACAGGATCATTTTACCACAGATCCCAGACTAGGAAAATTTAAAAGTGTCCCCTTATAGTCCGGATTGATTAGATATACTCGTTGTTACCCATTAGAGATTATCGAAATTAATATATTATAATATATAATAATTATTTATAAACTATTTTTGTTTATGAAATATTATTAAATTTAACTAAATAAAATTTAACTTAAATTTATATTCAAGTGCTATTAAACAGGCTAATTTTTCAGTTATTCTAATTTCTAAATACCTAGTTATAATTTTAACTGTGAAGAATAATATATTTTACTCAAATTTACGTAGAAATTTGTTAACGCAAATATCGACGGAACAATATCCAAAACATCCAAGGCCTTTTTCTATGACTATTAAATGTAGTGACTGGTAATACATTGTTGAGAAGTTGTTAAAAATGTAAATTGTTGTATCGATGCACTTAAATGAAGGCTTGGAAAATTATATTTACCTACATTTCACAAACATGGTGTGTACTTTTGCAACATACTCGTACCCAGGGGCGGAACTAGGAATTTTTACGCCAAGGGAAAATGTTAAAATTGCGCCCTATCATAGACCAAGAATAAAATACCCTTCCCTACAATTTTTTTTCTAATAATTAGCATACAACCATACTTATAAAATTTTAAACGCATTATCAGTAACAAAATCAAAAATATCAAACTAGCTGTCAATAGTAGTTCAACTATTATTTTCTACAAAAATTAAACCCTCTACAATTTTACATCCGGGGATGAAACCCCGTCTCCCTCCCCTTAATTCTGCCCCTGATCTTACCTATATTATTGTAATGATTGAGAGGCCTCCAAATTAATTTGCCCCAAGTCCTACAAATCCTTAGGATGGCTCTGGCTGTATAAGTGATGGCAGAAAGGCAAAGGGATACTTAATTACAATTATATAATTAGCCAATCCTAATTTATACATGTTTAAGTTGTAGATGTGGTACATTGTATTAGTAATGAGCAAACCAAGACCTAGACTAAGATTATGGTTGATTAAAGTCTTGGTCTTGTAACACTTATTCAATTTTATGTTAATATTATTTTTTTAGAGAAGAGAGGGAAGGCAAATGCACAATCTTGTCTTCCCCAATGATTATCCTTTACTATGATTATATTTAGAGAACAAATTACCTAATAAAATTGTTAGACCCCACTTTAAATAATTTCTAGTTACGTCACTGACTAGTATAAATCACAGTAGATTATATTAACATATATTTCTAACTTAATCAATATATACAGTAAAATTAACTATGTTAATTATGGCATATTCCGATGTTTATGTTTATTTCAGTAGCAATAGTTTTTTTTTTTAAATTATTAATAAATTAATTTAATTAAATTAAATATAATTAAAATATGAATTAATAAATATAATAATTAAATATGTATATTACTTAGAGGACCAGTGGCGTATTTAGGGAGGAGATTCCCCGGGTCTCGACCCCCCCAGAAAAAAATTTAAAAAGTCAAAAACACTTGGTATGTAGGTACCGAGAAAGAGAAAATTAATTTTATATTATGGGTTTTTACTTTGGTTTAACTTTTGGTTATTTTTGTCGCATCGTCGCCGTTCGACGACGACAATTACGACGAAAACGAGTCCGACGACGATAACGACGTAACATAATAATAATTATTATATGATTATATTAGTAGGTACGCTGATTATTAATTTGTATTAATAAATCATAATAGTAGTGAAATATACATAATTTAATATAAATAATATAGTTATTACATATTTACATCATAACTCGTATGTGTTTTTTTTATATTATAAACTTATAGGTACTTAATATTTAGACCCCCTCCCCACAAAAAATTTGAAAATACGCCACTGTAGAGGACACCACACCAAAAATAAAACGTATACAACGACCGATAGAACGCGCTATTAGGTATTTTCAAGAAGCGCAAGCACGTGAGCGCATATGTCGACACGTCCATCATTCGTAGCCGGCGACCGCGCGCCGGTCTGACGAGCGCTAGTTCGGGATCGCAAATTATTATTTCATGAATCTTCATCAAGTACTATGAACCATAAAATGCATATACGCGTATACGTGTATAGTACATCATATTTTGCCGCAATATTTTTAATATTCGGGGCCCGGAGCCTGACCAAGTTCACTACGTCTCGGTCATAATACAATTTGTATACTAACGCCTATCCTGCCCTTTATATTTGCTACAAATTACTACTTTCTCTATCCGTTACTCAAGTAAGTTGCGAGCGAGATTTTTCTAAACTAAAATACGTCCAATCATATTTGAGAAGTACATTGTCACAAGACCGTTTGGAAAGTTTTATGCTCATGAGTACTGAGTATTGTTAAATGGAGTTGACGCGGATGAAATAATTGACAAAGCGGCTATCAAAAGTAAAGTGTTAAAAAATCTTTTCTTGTATTAAAATAAAATATTAATAAATTATGACTTGTATTATATTTTGTACTATAAGATACTTCTGTATCTTTTTGTAATGTTCTATTTTTAAATCGTATTATATTGAATGTGTTGTGCGACTAAATCGAGCAAATTTTTTTTTTCATTTTGGTGGCCCCATTAAAACATTTCCCTGTAACAAAAAAAACTATCTATCCCCCCTATATTTAGTATACACATTTTAAAAAATGTCATTGGATGTCAGTGGCAAGTTAAATACCTCATGCGAGAAGCGCCTGGATTAATTTTTCCCTGGGACCCTTACTCGCTCTCCACGGCCCTGATTATTGCTAGCCTAACTGTCTTCACCAACATGTAGATTATAAAATCATTATTATAATATATTTTAAACAATGTTTAACACATTTTTACTTTTAGAGTTATAAATAAGACATTCCGAATGAAAAAAAAAAAATATAACTATTACCTATCTGATGATTTAATGCTTACAGAACATAGCACATTTTTATATCAATTTATAAGAATATTTCACTAACGGTATTCACAAAATCCTTATATAATTATATACTGAAGAACAAAAATAAAACGTTACCGCCGTTAGTAGTTAAAAAATTGTAAAAATGTAAACTATACAAATTATATATATTTTTGCCACCGTCAAAAGTTCATTAGGAAGCGCAGTTTATTAATTTATGAACAACCATCATTATCTATAATTCGTATGACTATTTTAATTACTAATGCCCAAATAATTTAAATAATTTAACAATTTTCAGATTCTAAAAATATTTTAAATTGATTACATTGATAGAAAACAAGCGGCGATTTTGAAATCCCCTAGGCGATCTGCACACAAACTTCGGCTGCTTTAAGGATTTCTAGTCGCCACAGCTCACACGGCAAGAAGATCAATGAATGTTTTGCGTGAACATTTCCCCGAACGGCTCATCTCTCTTAGAGGTGATCTTCAGTGGCCAGCACGATCGCCAGATTTAGCCCCATGTGATTTTTTCCCATGGGGCTACCTTAAATCGTTGGTATACACTGATCGTCCAAGGACCCTTCGTCATCTCAAAAACAATATACGTGCTGCTATCGCCGTCATAAGCACAGATATGCTGGAAAAAGTGGACAACAATTTCAAATTCCGACTATCTCAGTGCATTGATGAGAACGGTAGCCACCTTCGAGATGTCGTTTTTAAAACCAAATAAAATAAAACTTTAAATATACTTCTATACACAGAAAAAATAATTAAATCAATATTGCCAATACTTTTTGTGTTATGATTTTTTAAAATAAGGAAGTAACCACGCCCCACCCTGTATATCTAGAATCGAGTCCTAATAAATTGCTCTATACTCTTTACTAAGTTTCAGTATACTCTATAATTTTTATGAAGGTTATTTTTGTAAACAAAAATATATTTTATAATAAAAAAACAGTTTTTAAGCACGTCAGAATTCGGCGGTTTGCCGCTATTATATAAGCTATTGCCCACCAAAAATAATAATATGTATTATATTGATTAACATAATATCATTTATTGTTTTCATCTTATGAAAATACATTATTTAGCTATAAGTTATAATTAGTTGTGGGCTTCGATCTACGGAACGCCGATAACAGACCGGTTTTTGCCGGCTGTCGATGCAAAGGTCGCGAGTCGTAGTAAAGAGGGGACTAATAAAGTTGCCGCTAGAAATGAGAGCAGCACACATCGGCCGTAATATAATTTTATTTTTGCGTAAAATCTTAGTTTTAAGAATTTTTAGATTCAAAAACTTGGCTCACTGAGTGATTTTAGAGCAAAAACCCTAATACAAAAGTTGTAGAGAATAAGATTTTGGAGATAATGACATCTGTTTTTTTATACATTCAGTATTTAACAAACTATAATCAAAACAAAAAAACCAATTTTTTACTTTTTCAAATGCTTGTAACTTTTTTTCTAGGGATGATTTAAAAAAAAAGGCTATGTCATTATATCCAAAATATTGTTCTCTACAACTTTTGTATTAAGTTTTTTCTCTAAAACTACTCAGTAAGCCGTAATATTGAAATGCGTAAACACGTTTTCATACATGTTTTTTGGTGGTGTGGGATCCTCTTAATTTCAAAATTATTTATTGGTAATTTATAATATACAGTTTAAGTACATTTCTAATGGAGATAAAAATATATTTTTAATGTTTAGATGTAAATTCAACTATAAGTACAAATATTTTTGTATCAACTCATCTTATTTAAATTAATAAATAAAAATAATGGACATTTCTATTGTATTAGTTATATGTGTTATATTATATTATTGCTTATAAGTTTTTACTTATGTTTTAAACTTTAGAAATAACATAAATTATTAAAATAATTAATATAAATTTATAATAGTTTAATAAATTTATTCATTTGTATTTATTATTCAAGTCTGTATTGTGAAGCCATTCTCTTAAATGCTTTGTCCGGTTGTATGCTATTTGTTTTGAAGTAAGTGGGTGATAAATACTGGTGAACTTGTTTTGATATACTAAAAAAATAATAATAATGATTAAAATAATTTGGTATTTTGTGCAGGCAGATATGTTTAGTTTATAAACATAACTAATATTTATGATTTATAGGTACAATAAGCGACGGATTGGCTAAAAATTTCGGCTCGGGAAATTACTGTATGATCGGCCCACCATCCAATAATAATAATTTTCCATAAAAGTCTTCTTTATTCATGGATTAAATCCTCATAGAACTGTTTACATCACGTTTACACTAGGTTTTTATCACAATCTTACAATTAAATACAATATACTTAATACATTATTTTATAAAATAATTTTTAATCCAAGTACATTGGCCTAGTGTTGTGATATGACTACCGGCCTACCGAGAACTTTTCCGGTATCCCGGTAGGTTAATCCGCCGCTGGGTACAATACGTAATATACTTTATTTATCTATTACTACTAGGGTTCAGATTTTATAGCCTTTGTTAATTGGTATAGATTTAATTATTATATTATATAATATAAGATACAGATAAAATAATCAGTGAGAAATAAATTTATTCTGTGTATCTGGGCTTGAAAAATTAAATTAAATTATGCTATTTTAGAACTTATATACTAGACATAAACTTATACATATTAGATTTTTACTACTAATTTTAATTTTTTGGTACTTTTTTTTCTAATATGTATAATAATTAAATGTTTTTTTGTATTTTTCTTAAATATGATTTGTATAAAATAAAAAGTAGTATTAATTTATGTGTAATAAAAAAAATTCTTACATTTTTATTTTTGTCACAGTTTTTTAAATTTTTAACTGAAGAAGGTAATTTATTTTTATTTTTCTTATAAATATATTAATTCCTATGATTATATTATTAATATTAATTCAAAAAATAAAATAAACTGTCAGTAAAATATAATACATTTAATCAAATTTCGATTTACATATCTTTTTTTTTTTGCTATTTTATATGTTTTTAGGGCATATTTTAAAATTTTTTGGTCATATTAAAGTGCATATTTATTTCAGTACATTTCAATGCTATAAAATCCGAATGCTGGTTATCAAATTTTAGTGAGTATATATTGATTTTTCTAGTTTAAATTCAACCTTTTTTTAAAAATAAAAATAACCTACTGCATTAAATATTGAAAAAGTAATAGAAAACTCAAATAATTTTAATGAACATGAATAATGTTTATAATGATATGTAACTAGGGTTGCCATACATCCCGAAAAAACGGAATTGACACCGGTTTTAGCCTTCGCGTCCCGGTATCCCGAAAAATGTTTTCGGGACGTCCATATGTCCCGGTTTGGACGTTTAGAGGAAATGTGGTATTGTTTAAATTCGACCATTTTATATCAAGTGCATTTTTAATACTTAATCGATTAACAATATATAATAAAAACATAATTTATAATTTACACATATAAATATATAATATATTATATTTTACAAATTTTTTTTTTAAAGTACGTTTCAAACGCCCTCACACTAAAGACATTTTATAACATTATAAAAAGGCCTAGAGGGAGATCCGATCTTCACATCCCCCCCTTGTATACACCACTGATCCTTTCAATATATTAAAAGTTGTATAAAAAATATATTACTCAACATTGTGTATGTATTGTCCCGGTTTTGCCTTATAAATATTTGTCAACCCTATAGTAACAGGCTTAAATTTTACTTATTATAATACGAGTAATATACTTAGTATGATTAAAATCTTACTATTATTGTTATTTGGAATATGATAAACATTTGGATGTTTTAAATGGTTGTTAAATGTATCAATTAAATTACATATATTTTGTTCTGCTGCATTCACTTTCAATTCTTCCTAAAAATAGTACACCAATAAAATTAATAGTCAATAAACAACACAAGCAAAATTAATACCTGACATAAAATATCTAATGAGTTAAATACTTGTGAATATTTTGGCATACTATTTGAATATAAATCTTCATATATTTTTGCCTTATTCCAATAGTTTGTATAATTTGTGTAAGTATCTTAAAAATAATATTTTTTATTTTTTATTTATTATTCAATATATTTAATTTAATATTAATTTAATAAAATAACTAACCATATGAATTATGAAATAAAGGTGTATTTGATGACTCTGGATAACCATATTCATGGAAGTTTGGTTTTTTATGGGAAATTACTATATTTTCAGTTTGACACGAAACTGTACATTTCTTGGGATATAAATCTATATTATGTTCTGAATATAAAATTATTAAAATAAATATGATTAAATATAAGAATATTTAAATTGTTCACATGGTGTTGTAATATCTCAAAAATTATGAAATTAAAATTTATTAAAAATAAAATAGAGTAAAGGATAATTTAAGCATTTACATATCATAATTTCAAAAATATTAATTTATAGTGTTGTAAATTTAATACATTTACCTGAAGTGCATTCATTTGTTGACATTTTATTTATCAATTTAAGAGCATCATTTAATTCATTTGAACAATGTTGAATGGTATTTATTAAGGAGTTATAATTAACCTTATGTATGTCTACAGTTGTACATCTAAAATTATATAATAAAACTAAGTATAGAATAAGCATTAAATTTTATTTTATTTACTTTGAATTCAAATATTGTTTAGATAGTGGTTTATGATTGAATGTTTCAGTATTAACATTGTATAAGCTATTTTCATGAACCCGCTTTTTTACTATATTGATTTCTTCTTGTAACACCAAATCCAATTGCTGTGCAACATTATTTAAAAAGTCTTTAGAAATACTTTTAAGTTTTTCTTTTAATTCTAGTTTTAATTGATGAATATCATTATCTGTATCACGTTTGATATTTTCAATAGTATGTTCAAAATATCGTTTTATATTTTCCATCTCAACATTTTTATATGACTCTAATCCTTGTTTTAAACTATCAGTTATAATTTCAGAATTTATACTGTACTCTTTTTTTAATTTGTCGGATATCACATCAATTTCTGATTGTATCTGTTTTTTAAATACTTCTGAATAAACATCTAAATCTTTTTGAAATTTAATTAAGTTTTCTGCACACATTTGTTCAGAGTTTGAAATATTTTGAACATATTTTGGGTCACATTTTTCAATTAAAAAGTGTTCAGTTTTTTCTTGTCTAGAAAATATAAAATTTCAAAAATGTGAATACTTTAAGCATAAAATTAACAGGTACATGATAAGAACAGTATAATTACTAGTGATGGGCACTAGAGATCAGCACGGTCCGTTTTTTTTACGGCCCGATCCGGCCTAACTTATAAATTATCGTTATCCAGGCCCGGTTCAAATTTTATTTTTTTTAAGTCTAGTCCGACCAGGCCCGTTTGAAATTTTTTTTTCAAAGTCCAACCCAACAATGCCCGTTTGTAAATATAAATATACATCAACTGTATTTCCTTTCAGTATCGACTTAGCAGACAAAAACGTTTTTGATAGTTTTTCTTATCAGTAATCAGTTATCACATTAGATACCTAATCACTGATTAAAACTTTTTTTTTGTTAGTTTTTCTTATCAGTAATCAGTTATCACATTAAATACCTAATCACCGATTAGGTATCTCAAAATAAAATAAGCATTTTTTAAGTTAATTCAAGTTTAATTCAAATTTTACTGAATAATTCAGAAGAATCAAATATTTTGAAAATTATCGAATAATTCGATTGTGCTGGACTATAGAATAGTTCGTAGTACCCATCACTAATAGTTACACAATAAAGCTAAACTTTAGTTTATTCTGTGGTGTATAGAAATAGAAACCTAATAAGTAAATTTTATTAAATATTATATTACATTGGTGTGACTTAAACCAAAAACAAATTTTCATTTTAATTATATTTATAGCGTATTTTAAATATACTGACAAAATAATCTTAATAATAATTGTTTACTCTACTTATTGAACGATTTTAATCTATCATCAAATGATCTGATAAAAATTATCTTACAAAGTACCTAGTAGGTATGAGTTAAAAAGATATTACATATATACAGTTTAATAGCTAAAATTATTTAAATTGAAATTTCATGTTAATTGTTATGTTTCAATTAATGTTAGGGTACAATTATATATTATGTTAAATTAGTAACAAAAACATATTTAAACTGATGATCGACTAGGGTAAATAATACCTATGCATACATTAATTTTTAATTCACAGTCTACTGGAGTTAAAAAGCACACAAAACAAAAATTATAGTTTCTGAAGATAAATTAATAATTAGAACTAGAATATCAAATACAACTAAATTAAAAGATCTCTAAAAAAAAATAAACTTGATTTGTATTAATATTCAATCGTTAATTTAAAAATTAATTAATTTTTTAATTTTTTAAATACTTACATATTTTTCATTAGATTCTTTAATTCTAACTCATTTTTAGTAAAAATTTCATTGTGCCAACATTCAATCCGTTTTTCAAAATTATAATTTTGCTTACTTATAACATCATCCATTTTTTTAGTTAAGTCTTCCCTACATAATTGTAAATAATAATAATTAAACATATATGTTAATTGTGATTTAAGTTTAATTAAATAATATTTTTTTACCTAAATATATTTTCCTTTGTTTTGATTGTATCTTCCATTTTATTTTGTAATAAATCGTAATGATTTTCAATCAAAATTTTAATCTGTGCAATATCCAAGAATGTTTGATTTTTATCATTCAAGTAATTTGTTGACTCAAACTTTATGCTACTGGATTTTATATCATTATCATCTTCATAATTTTCTATTGATTTTATCTTTAATAATTTTGTTTCATTAGTATTTTGGTTTAATGGAAATTGTTGATTTATTTCAGCCATTTTACTTTTAATAGCAGAAAAACTATTAGTTGCATTTGACGACTGCATTATTTTAGAATCTTTTCCAGTAGAATTCCCACTGTCGCTAACTAAATCATCCTTTTTAGTATTATATAATTGTGTAGTTCCTATAGTATCCTTGAAATTATTGGTCGCCGATCTAACATCATCATTATTTCTTTTAGATTGTTTATTTGTTTGAATTGTTTTAACATTATCCTTTTCTTTTAGTTCTATTTAATTGAACCAATATAACATTTAAAATTTGTGTAATTAATTATAAATACATAATTGTTCATATATATAAGAAAAGATAATATAAGGAATTTATGTATATAAAAAGCGTATAACAATATATTACCATTTTCTTCATCTTCATTGTCACTAATTTCATTTTCACTGCGAATTTCAGATGAAGTACTATCTGATCGGTCAGAAGATTCTGTCAAAGTTATATCGATCTTTTTTAAATTTTCTTTGCGCGTATTATGGTTAACATTGATAGAGGAAAAATTATTTATTGCTTTAATATTTTCTTCTAAACCAAATTTCTTGGATGATTTATCTTTGTTTGGTAATTTATTGTATTTTGAAAGTACGCTTCGTCTCCCTTAAAAAAATAATAATCCTTGACATAAAATTTAGTTTAATATGAAACGTACAATTTTGTTGTACTAATATCTCATTAATTATTAGATAATTATTTATTTATTTATTATTTAATTATTTATTATTATTTAAGCAATATTAAACATACGATATTTTGTAATACAATTATTACAATTATTTTATTTATATAAAAGTACTGTAAAATGAGGTAACTTTGATAATTTTGAATGGTTTTTTTTTTAAATTTTTATTTTTTTTTTCTAACCGCATATCAGTAGTATAAAACGCAGGTGTTTTAATGCTGTTCAGTTTGTGCCCTATATTTTTACTCTTTCTCTGCAACAAAAATACCTACGGAGCCGTTCATGGTACCAAAAAAAACCAGAAAGCTGTCCTGAACATTTCCATCAGCATACAGAATTTTATTTAAACCACCTAACCCTGCAGAATAAAAAATATTGATAGTTATAATTGCTAATTAAATAACAAAACCGAGATATAAATTATTGTTGATTTCGAGCTCCTCGATAATCAGCCGGTGGCAGCCTATTAACTTAATTACATCGATTCACACTATCGCAATATATCGTATATTAATACACACAATAGTGCCGTTTAGACGAACGCTTTTTTCTAGCGCGATTGGAACGTGGCAGTGTACGCAGGCTACGCGCCAGGATGTTTAAATGGGAGGGGCTAATCACTTTTTTGGATAAGTAAGGCAAGAGAGGATATAAAAAGGATATGATAGTGATAATCATGGTAAAAACTAGAAGTATTAGTAATCTGTAATATCTACGTCAAAGACAAACACCTGTTATTCGTTAATCGTCAAAATTTAGTTAACACCAAAGATTTAAAATACTTAAATAAAAATAGTAGTATACTAGTTTAGTACATAGATACACTATACATATAAACACGGCCCATGGGTGGGGGCTATAGCCCCCTTATCCCCTCCTTGGCTACGCCACTGGGGCGTGGCATTCCAAACTCGCGGGAAAGAGTGCATGTTTAAACATAATTTATCCCACAGACTTAGATCGCGAGTATTCTATGCGTTTATTCTTGAATCTTGGAGTGTTGTTTAAATTACATGTACATGATTTCTCCACACGCCAAGAATGAAAGATAATTAACTATCGTTAAAAAGCAGTTATCGATTTATGTATATCATCGATGCCGATAGTCCAGATATCAATATACATTATTAAGGTATCAAGGTAAACATCAAATGATACAGAATCCATTCTAAGATAATTCCTAAAATCATCTGGGTTATTTTCTCTTATTTCACTGAGTAAAGGTATATTACAAAATTAAGCTTTATCCAGTTTTCAATTTTTCACCAATTGCAATCTTTTTTTTCTTAGCTTTGATGTTGAAATACTTGTAGCAGCACACGCGATTGTCAATTGCTTTTTCTTAATATATTGTTTGTACATTTTATTACTTTTTACACTTCCATAATATAGGTACTAGGTCCTCCTTTTTGTGCAATCAAAAATCACTATATACGAGTAGGAAACTTACTATTTAGAAAAAACATTAAGCTAAGCACCACTGAATAAATTAATAAAAATAATTTATAATAATAATAATTATTATTTTTGTGATAAAAAACCCATCATCTGATAATTTACTGCAAGTGTTGATATTTTCAACACGCCACACGCCACGCCATTCGTGCGTGAAAGTTACAGTTTTACCCTTTATACAACCACGCTTTCCTATATTCCTAGTAGAGATGGAAAATTTAGTTTATTTCATTAGTTCACAGTTCATTTAAGTGAATAGTATCATTATATATTTGTATATATATATATATATATAATATTCTTATATTTATTAAGAATAGTTGAACTATTCTTAAGTTCACGTAATTCACTAATTTTATTGATCATACTGATATTGTTTGGTAATGAACTATTCATTTTATCACTATTAGTACAGCAGTACACAGTTCAATAGTAGTTCACACTACTTATGGGCAATTAAATATTTCTTATCTAATTGTAAATAGCTGTTTACCATTTATAGGATTTCGAACAACGAACCACAGAGAATTTTTTAAAAAGTTCGCGAACTATTTTATTTATACAATGCTACCAATTTTTTTCGAACTGTGAACTGTTAAGTTACAGGTACTGAAACAGTTCAGAATAGTTCATCAAAGTGAATAGTTCAAATTAACTATTCGTTCACTAATTCCTAGACCACCAGGTAAAGAACGAGCACCTGGAGTGTTCGTTAATTTGCTACCACACTCTTAGCGCGCTACGTGCCTATCCGTTGCAATTGATTGCATGCATGACACGCGAGTAAAAGCGTTCGTTTAAAGGGCCCTATTGAATAATCAAACACAAGCCAATATAAATAAACCAAAAAAAAAGTCAAAAAATTATATTTCCTCCAATCGTAATCAAAGTATCTAACTAACTTTAAAAAATGACAAACAAAAATACTAATTTAAATTCATTCCTCTGGAATGCAAATGGACTCAAAAGTGATGAGCCCGAACTATTACATTTATTTATCGAAAAAAATATAGACATTGCACAAATCTCCGAAACTCACTGCACCCTTAACTTCAAAAATTTCTTTCCTGGTTATAAAGTATATCGCGCCGATCATCCCGACGGAACCGCCCATGGTGGATCCGCTATTATAATTTCCACAAAAATACACTGTCAATCCTTGCCTAATCTTCAGATAAATTCCATTCAAACCGCAAAAGTACAAATCACTCTAAATCATATTCCTACAACCAACTATTTACTCAATAAACTGTCTCCAAGACCTGCAATATGTATCCAGCAAGTTGAACAATTTCTAAATTCAGTCGGTAATACATCACTCATTGGAGGTGATTTCAATGTAAAACATTCTCAATGGGGATGTCGTGTCATCAACATTCGGAGACGTATGTTCTAAAACTTCCTTCAAAACAAAAGACATATCTCCCCTGGGACCTACATATTGGCCATCACATCGTAATAGACATCCATATACACTTGACCTATTTCTATTCAAAATTCCTAGACATATAAATTATACAATACAAACCTAGATTATCCAGCTTGTGACCACACCCCAGTTCTACTACAAATAAACGGTCAGATATCTCTAAACCCTCAGCGACCTTCTCTAGCAAAAGGACCAGTCAACTGGTACCTCTTTTCCGAAAATATTCAAAACTCAACTAATTTAAAAAATCTCGCTCAGAACAAATAAACAAATTAAGGACGCAGTCTAAAATCTCACATCTTCAATTCAGGCCGCTGTATACAATTCATCATTTAAAACAAACACATCTGTGGAAAATTCATTATTCAAAAACTCTCTTCCCTCCCACATACAAGAATTAATAAAAACAAAGCGTAGGACCCGTTCACGTTGGCAACGTCACAATCTACCTTCCAATAAATGCATACTAAACAATCTAACCAACGTAATAAAAAAGCAAGTACAAAAACACAAATCAAAATTTTTCGAGGAAAAATATCAATCGCTTAACACAAAAGACGGCTCTCTGTGGAAAATCACTAAAAACATCTTTAAAGTTGAAGTTCAATATACTCCTCTAAACGACCCAAACGGTCATCTAGTCATCTCAGATAAAAATAAAGCTGACCTTTTCGGAAACCATTTCTCGAAAACTTTTACTCCCCACTTCAACATAATCCTCAATCTTGAGCACCTAGATGAAATAAAAAACTTTCTTGGCAGACAGCCCATTGCCTATGTCCCTTCCCACAAAGCACACAATTACAAACGATATATAATAAATAAATTAAAAGTAGGGAATTCGCCGGGTTACGACCTAATCTGAAACAAAATATTTAAGCAAAACAAAAAACGACCAAACAAAACACTATTTCTCCTCACATTCATTTATAACTCAATGCTAAGACTTTCTTATTTTCCTTTTACGTGGAAATTCTCTATAATAATCTTGATACACAATCCTATGAAAACTAAAAATTCAACAACCTCCTATAGGCCGATAAGTCTACTCTCCACACTAGCAAAAGTATTTGAAACAATTTTACTAAAAAGAATTAGACCCATAATTAGTTCTTATAAGATAATACCTCACTCGCAATTCGGATTCAGAACAAATCACTCAACAATACATCAAATTCATAGATTCACAGACAAAATCGCAACCTTATTCGAAAATAAGGAATTTTGCCCTGGAGTCTTTTTAGACTTAGCTCAGGCGTTTGATCGAGTTTGGCATATCAGCCTCCTATACAAGCTAAAACTTTTTCTTTCAGCCCCCCTACTATTTAATCATTCGTTCCTACTTATTTAATAGGTCATTTTTAGTCAGACAAGGAAACTCAATTTCCTCATGATACCCTATACAAGCCGGAGTCGCTCAAGGAAGTGACCTTGCCCCCCATTAATTCAACATATATACATCAGACATTTCCCAAGTAGCTAATACGATTACAGCAACATGTATGTATATATATGTATATATATATGCGTATACGTTGATGATACGGTTATACTTTCCTCCTATAAAGACCCCATACTAGCTTCTTCAGCTCAGTGGTAGGTTTGTTTTTGTTGAAAAAAGAGGTGAATTGCCCAATAATAACTTAAAAATAAAAAAAATGGTTTAACATTTGTAATTTTAAACTTTTAAAAGAGTATATTTTTATAATTTTTTGTATACTTGCATATGACAACAGCCTGTGATTTCACCCTCGGACCCATTGTAAATGTTACCGAAAATGTTGACAATCTAGGAAATTACAACAATTCCTAGAAAATGATGACAATTCCTAATAGTCGAAGGAAATTATATCATTGCCTAACAGTTGTTATAATTCCCGTAGTTTATTAGGTAATTTTCGCAAAATCAAGCATCGTTCTTTTACACAAAAGCATTAGTGATTATGATGTTGCAGGTCATATGGGATCAGCTTTACAATGTAACTATTAGAATAATAACTAACTCGTAACGGCAAAATGTTAAAAACCATAATTGTCAACCACCAACTGTTAATATTGTTCGTATTCAAAAAAAATCAGGGGGATATGACTGATATCGATAACAGGAGAGATTTTGTTAATAGTGTAATTAACGAATTACATACTATATGGGGTGATGTTAAAATAATACATGGAAAATGAAGACATAGTCAAAGTCAGGGGCCTATAGAACGTACAAACTGGGACGCGGAAGATATGTTGGCAACATGGATGGCGGAAACCAACAGATTGACCATCTGGGTTAATAGTATTTATTGAGTTGATTAACGAAAACAAAATATACTTAATGCGCGTCAATCATTTGCTCACAATGTAGAAAAACAGACTCAAAAAAATGATTAAAACATGACATAGAAAATATGATATTCTTAGTGTTGAAACCACAGTACGTCTAAGCATTCCTGATGCAGATCGCACTCGTGAATCACCGAGAAATTACACTATTATTTTTATAGCACCTTAATCATCTTCGTATTAAACGCATGGGTAATAAAAATAAATAAATTTTTTTTTTTTTAAGTCGTAGACATTGAAAGTGGATTTTTAAAACATATATGCATAAGATTAGAAATCAATCCTTGAAAACCAAATTTATTGGATCCAACTATTGTTTTAGTTAGGTCACGAAGAAAACCCAATATCACTTCAGAAGGGGAGGTAGCTACTCTAAATAGTATTTTAAGAACACAGGAATGTATCCGACATCAATGCAAGACAAAATGTAAAACGAACAGGTGTGCTTGCAGATCGGCATTCAGAATTTGAACTCTAAATTTCACGGACGTTTGCCATGTAGAAACAAAATTGAGTAACTATTTTGAAGATGTAAAAAAACTTAAATTATACAAATTAAAGTGATAAATCTTTGTTTACAAATTTTCAGTTTCATTTAACGTTAGTTATGTACTTGTACCAAAAACTATAAAATCTTTATTAGTACAGTTATTAATTAATTTTGGTTTATAATTAAATATTATTTAATCTAATAAGACATTAAGATCTTACCTGTATATTTTGGATCAAAAGTATTAGTTGTTGAAAATTGAGGCAAATTTTGTAAATTAGATAATGAACTGGAGTAAGGTGTGTTCAACCTAAATTTTCAAATCGGTTTTATATACAGTTTATGTAAAAAAAACTAATGGCTAACTTACTTTATTGGTCCTAAAAACTTCATATTATCATCAGAATAATCGAGATCCAATGATTCTTCAATTGGAGTTTTAAATCGAACTGTTCGTTTTTCAGTAACATTTTTTTTTTTCATAGTTATTCTTAAAAATTACGATTGTATTTAAATAATATTCTGTTTAATAGTGTTAAATTAATTTTATATAATCAATGATAATAATTATAAGATTTAAGTAGTATATAGAAAAGAAGTCTAGTAAGTATGCTTAGGCGGCACTTGGGGATGATTCTAGGGGGGGGGGGCAAAAAATGAATTACCATAACCCAAAAAAATGGACTTTCATAATCCAATCCTTCTAAAATAAAATTTCAACCTTGATTTAATTGTTTTTTTTTTTTTGAGTGCATTTTTATCTATTTTAACTTCAGTAAAAAACTTTTTTTGACTTAATTTACTAAAATAAAGAATAATTATTTTAAAATATAACCTAAAATATTAGGAGATATTTTAAACTAATACTAACTTTTACCACGTTTATTTATTTATACTTACTATTTAACCGATACGCTCTAATCGGTGATTGGTTTTGTTGATAGTGCTTGTTAAGAAATTACTAACCATCCTTTCTAGATGTATTAATTTTGATAACAATTATTATCATTTTATCAATATTCGATTATTCAATTAACATGAGTATAATTCTAATATTCTCAGTTTCAAATTTAATTTGGGATTCCAAAAAGTATTTTCTTGTTTTACATTAGAAATTAAAATTACAGAGGGAATATCATTAATTATTTTAAATTAAATTCAACTTTTCGTCGTTCATCAATAAAAGATTGAAATAATATGTTTTTTCGTTAACTTTTTTTTTTTTGGGTGGTAAAAGTATACATTTGCCATCCCAAAAAATGTTTGGGGGGAAACTGCCCCCTTATGACCCCAGTGCCGCCTATGCAAGTATGTAAATAACTACAGTAAAAATGATCTTATATAATATAATTTATAAAAATCTTCTATTATTTTTGCAAATAATTAAAATCAATCCTATTTGTGCTATTTATCCATCTATCACCTAGTCAGTGGTAGATCTTGAGGAGCTCTGGGGTTAAGTGCTACCACCATTGAAAAAAAAAAACAAATTTAGAAAAAATATATAATAGATTATAAAAATAAATGTTGACAGTGTTAGAATAATATTGTCACATTATTTTTGGGGATGGATCTAATCCTTATGATCAGCTATATTATATAATTTATCTTATTTAGTAACCCAATCATAAATAGATGCTGGATTCGTCCTTGCATATATATGCATTATATCTCTTTCAAACCATATTCTTCCAACTACATCCAGTAAATACACAGTATTAATTAACACATTGGAGACACATTGTTAACTACATGAGCATTTTTTATGAATACCTTAATACAGGAGCGTAGGTAAGGGAGGATTTGGGGGTTCGAACCCCCTCCCAATTCAAAAATTCCAATCAGTTAATAAATTATAATAATAATAATAACTAGAATAATTTGTATGTAGGTGCTAGGTTTTATGTAAATACTACAAAAATAAAAATAACTTTTTAGTTAAACATTATAAAAATGTTTATAAAAAAAATATAGAATCACTAATAAACAAAAAGGACGAAGCAATAATCCTGTAGATACATCCGAAATATAATATAAAATAAATGTTTATTATGCATTTCTTGACCATGTGATAAATGAACTAGCAGCCAGATTTTATAAACACCAGGAAAAGATTAAGAACCTCCAGATCTTACTGCCAAAATGTAAGAAAAATAAGAATAATACTAAAAACAAATTGGCAGAAATCCATAAGATATATCTCCTAAATGAAAAACTTGAAAATCTGTTGAGTAAGTATCAATTATGGACTAAGAAATGGGAAGAAATAAGTGATGGCTTAAAAGAGAGTTAAATGCAATCAAAACATTGGAAAAGTGTGATAAACCGTTTTTTTTCCCTTGTTTATACTATTCTTAAAATGTTAGCTACTTTTTCTGTATCTACTGCGAATGCAAAACTTTCCTTTTCTACATTAAAACACTTAAAGACGTATTTACGAAACACCATTGATCAAGAGCTTACTGGACTAGCTCTTCTAAAAATTTATGGAGACGTAATGGTTGATCCTTTACAAAATGAAAACAAAATAACCCGACGTAGGCAACAATTAAATTTACTTATATAACATTTTATTTTAAAAAATAATATAAGCATTTTTATTAATATTCCTATAGTTGAATTTGTTTTTTATATATATCTTTTTGTGTAATTAAATAATTTAAAGTTGAAATCCCCTTCATTAATAATCTATACCTACGCTCCTGTCTTAGTACCTATTTCAATTTACATGCAATAACTCAACTTACTATCATTAGTTTACATACATATTTAGGTAAAATGATTTATTGTATATTAAATAAATAGTAATAATCTAGTGACTTTGATTATATTGTTAAATCTGAACAAGTGTGGGGGGAAGGTAAAACAATATTGATATAGAACAAATACTATATCAATTAATAATACTTACATTTTTTTGTATTGTACATAGTGTCACGTAAATTATCTTCGTCGAAAATAATATTTAATGATATGTCTTGACCTATAATTATATTTAAGTTTTATATAGTAAAATAAATATATTAAGAGTTAGTTGAGCTATTTTTCAGTTTTCTGAAATAATTATAAAAAATATAAAATATAAAAATTATAAATGTGTAAATTAATACATACTTTTAAAATATTTTAAAATTAATGATAATACTAATTTACTACATTACCTATAACTTATTAGGACATCTTTAAAATATTCATTTATGTCAAATGGAAGCAATGGAGGTTTGTTACATACAAGTATATACACAATTTTTGTTTAATGTTTAATATTACATTTAGTTCATCAAATATTGTATACTTTTTCTAATCAATACATTATTTGAAGCAGGGGTGACCAACCTTTTTTTATATTGTACCAAATAATGTTTACAAAATTGAGATTGTGCCTTAAAAAATACTTATTTATTTACAGTTTACAATGTTTACATAAATATAAGTTTTAGATTTTTTTCATAGGTATTATTTTTATTACAGTTCAATTGCAATGTTTTTTTTTAATGATTAGGTATGTTTAATTTGCTTCATAGATATTATCTCTTTATAATTTGGTTTAAGTTTACTTTAAGATAAAAGAATTAAATTTTTCGAATGAGAATTTGTAAGTTTGGTTCTATACTTATTTTTTAATGAAAGTCATCCGTGAAAAACTTTTTCACATAAATATATAGAGCCAAATCTGCAAACCAATTTCACCGCTACATTATGTAGTTCTGGAAAATCTTCTTCGGGTAGGCCTTTCCAAAATTCTATAATCTCAGATGACTCTTTATATTTGCTTTTTAAAACTGTTGAACTTTGAAGTTCAATAATTTTCAATTGCATATTGGGATTATATTTTTGGAGATCGTGTGTCGCTATAATAAATGGATTAATAAATAAGCTATTTAAATCTTTTTCTTCTTTAAATTTACTGAATCTTTCTTGAAAATTATCATATAGTGATGATATATGATTTTTAAAAAATCGTCAATGGAATATCTGTTGGTAGATAAATAGATTTTAATCGTACAAAGTGATCTAAATTTCCCATTCCTAAATTACTATCGAAAAGTTGAAGTCGAGACATGAAAGAATTTATAGAACCTACAAGGGCTGGAAATAAATTTCCTTCACCTTGGAGTCGTTTATTAAGAATATTTAAATATTTGAGAATATCAGTTAAAAATGCAAGGTTAATCAACCAATTTTTATCTCTCAGTATTTCACTAGTTCACATTCATCAGGCAATTCATTATTTTTTTCTAAAAATTCAATAACTTCGTCTTTTAGACTAAAAAATCTTTCTAATGCTTTTCCTTTTGCAAGCCATCTTACTTCACAAAATAATAATAGTTCACCAGACTCGTTAATGGCGTCTTCAAATAGAGTTCTGAATAATCGATGATTTAAAGGCCGAGCTTTTATTTTGTTTATACATCGAGATACTGGTTTTAATACATAATCAAATTTTAAAATTTTGGCACATAAGGCTTCTAGGTGTATAATACAGTGATATTTATTTAAATTTCTATTCAAAAATTCCTCCAATAGTGTTACACAACCAATATTTTTACCTATCGTACATGGAGCACCGTCTGTGCATTCACTTTCAAGTTTTGACCAGATTAAATCGTCACATTTTAACAATAATGTTTCAACACAACATTTTAGTTTATTAAATATATCTGTACCTTTTGTCGATGTTTCGAGTACTTCAAGTCCTAAAAGTTTTTCCGTCACTTCAAACTTAGAATTCACACTTCGAATAAATATACTTAATTTCGGATTGTCCGTAATATCACAGCTTTCATCAAGCGCAAGAGAAAAATATTTAGAATTAGTAGTACTACACGAAATTTGTTTTGAAATATCTGAGGAAATTTCGTCAATTCTTCTCATAATTGTATTACGTGATAAAGAAATGTTATTTACGTACGTAGAAATTTTTGAATCATTTGCATTTTTTGCAAAAATATCGAAACTTTTTTTAATGATTTGCCATCAGAATAAGGTTTTCCACACTTGGCTAGCAAAAATGCGATTTCATAAGACGTTAACACCATGTTTTTTTTTTCATTTGATTGTTTAGAAAAAATTGATTGCTGAGTTAACAATGAATTAGTCTTCTTTTTAATATACTCTGTCCTCTTTACAGAACCCTCGGGGCATTTTTTCAACAATATTATTGTGATTATTAAAGTGCCGTTGAACATTGAACTTTTTTTGGAACTGCAATTACAGAGTTACATTCTAAACATGTCGGTCTAGATTTTTTCCCTACTATACATAAAAATTTTTCTATCCATTCTGTATTAAAATTGTGCGAAGAAATATCATCATTATAACTTCGTTTTACGCCTAAACTTACGCCTGGTTTATTAGATGCCATTTCACGATCACACACACACACACACACACACACACACAACGAGACAAACTACTCGTTAACGCACGGGCACGGCGATTCTAATACGACTAACTTTATTGTAGTAATCTAGTACACACGTATATACAATCAAACAAATCAATATAATATAATAATTTTACATATGGTGGTTATAAGTAAACGAAAATTAGATCGACCAATACTCACATAGCAGTTGTGACGTTCGACTGGTTTTACACCGAAGCTACCGTACCGGGTTCCGTAAGTATCATAATAAAATATAAGTACAATAAAAAATACAAGTTGAACCCGCATACGTGCGATCGTTAGTCAACGACTGCTCACGACGAAAATCCAAATATCGCTTGCAACACACGAAGACAACAAAGACAAAATCACGTTGCGAGAACCGAAAAACGATGAAAACGAAAAGTTGGACGAAACGACTATGGCGGCGCTAAATCACGACTGACACAAACGCAACAAAAAGACAAAAATACCACGATTACAATTTTATACGGGAAAAACGAAAATACAGATACGGAACGCACGATATACATATTATAATAATAATTAATAATAATAATATAAATAATAACAGTGAGGCCGCTAATAAGCGCCGACCATTCGAATGCCGCGTTATCAGAACGTCATCGGAACGCGTATACGCGAGAACAGTGTATTTTAGAAAGAACATCAACGAAGGTGGACTCGGAAAAGCAAACTAGTCTGTTTACTTGAATCTATTGAAAAAGAAGCCAATATGTCTGGACTAGAGCCCTGCATGGTCTAGGCTAACCCAATCCTGACTTGAGCCCTGCCCGGGCCATTGGTACACTGGGTCGGGCAGGACTGCATATTTGTTTTAAGTTTACGGGCCTGAGTGGGCTTTGCTTTTTTAAATTAATTTTAAATAGTTTTAAAAACTAGAATAGTGTTGGGTTTTAATGGGCCGGGCATTTTATATCAGGATACGGGCTGGATTGGGCCTGTATTCTGTAAATTATTTTAATATTTGTATTTGTAGAAGACTAAAAATGAAAAATAGAAGGCACGAATGGTGAACTTAATTGTATTATTTGGATTACTTTTAAATCTTTTAATTTAATACATGCATTACAAGCTAAAAGCTATCAGGAGCGTATTTAGACTTACTTCTAGGGGGGACTCAAATTTTTCTTCAATTCAGGCTCAAAATGTACAAGTAAAATTTTTGGTAATATTTAATTCTGGTAAATCCTTAATATTTGTGGTTTTATTAATTATGGAGAAAAAAAATTTAGTTAGTAGATAAGCGATGCCAGATTTAAGATTATAAATACATAAATAATAAAAAATACAGTCGAGTCGCAATAACTCGAAGGTGAAGGGGGATAAAAATTCACTTCGAGCTATGTACGAGTATTATTCGTATTATTCGAGATATCTAAATAATTTATAAGGGAAGAATTTTTTAGGGGAATAAAACACAATTCGAGTTGTCAAGTTTTTCGAGTTATCGAGGTTCGAATTATCGCAACTCGACTGTAGTTAATATCCCACCAAAAAAACTTCGTTTATAACTCCATGTAAAAAAAAACTAAGATAAAAAAAACAAATAATGATATTACATTAAGTAATTACTAAACCTTTAAACGACGTGATATAATATGGAAACTAAGTAAAATGTAATTTTGTAATATTACAAATACCTATAATGACAATTATTATATATTTATATATATTACAATATATGCGGACGATAGAAATATTTTTTCCGACATAAATGTATTGACACTAAATAACTTCAGAAATACACCAATTCGTTAAATGATTGGAGCAAACGTACAGCATTCAAATTTTTACCAAAGAAATCCCAGTTTCTAATACTCTCACACAAAAGAGTTAATAAAAAACTAACTATAAAAATGGTCGACAAAGTAATTACATACACAAAAAACTTAAAAATATTAGCACCAGGGCTAGGATTTGTATGTAACACCATATTTTTTTTTGCAACTTCTAATTATTGATTTTGTCAATAATTTCCACGAATCATCTTATGATGAGATGCATGGTGGTGTTTTTATTTTGCATGTTTATGCATAATTTGGATAAAATGCATATTATTGAATAAAGTGAATATTATTGCATATTTCGATTATAAGAATGCCAAAAATTAATGTTTTATAATATATTTCGTAATTAATATTTTTAACTTAATATTAATATTTAGTATTTAATTCTAGCTCTGCCGAATAAAGTATTAAACTTGGTTTTTTTTTTTGTCAAACATAAATATTATTTTATTTACTTTCTCATTTATATTTAGAAAAACAGTCAACTACTAATGTATTTTAATAAATAAATATTTTTTTTATAACTATATTTTTGTGTTTATCTTATAAAAATTTAAATGCATATTTTACAATTTTTTATTGTACACAAATCCTAGTCCTGATTAGCACTAACCTTCCACGAAAAACTTACTTGAACCACACACATAAAAAAAATTAAAATACAAAGACAAAAAAAGACTTAATATTATCAAAGTAATTTCAAACACAAAATGGGGAGCAGACTCTAAAACCCTAATAAATGTATACAAATCGTTAATCAGATCAATTTTAGATTACGAATCGCCCTTATACATAATAGCGAAAAAACTCTGTACTAATAATTCTTGATATTATCTACAACGCTGACCTAAGAATGGTAGCAGGTGCCTTTAGAAGCAATCCCGTAAACAGCATACCGAATATTACTGGAGAGCAACCACTCAGTAATCGAAGAAATCAACTAATGCTACAGCACGTAATAAGAACAGCAACTGATCCGAATAAACCAACTTATTCCACAATTTTCTATAACCTATTTGAAAATACTTTTAATAACAACAACAAATTAATACATCCTATATACAAAGGATTATAAAGAAATGCGAAAACTTAAATTAGACACAAATAATATAATGATAAGAGAAATATTCGAAAAACCTCTATGGACAACAACAAAAATACTCATTTGATATGTCAATAGCGTATTATAGCAAAGACGAAACCAAATCTATGTATATATAAAAATCTTGTGTCACAGTGTTTGTTATCATATTCCTCCAAAACGACTTAACTGATTTCAATGAAATTTTGTATATAAATTTGGTAGGTCTGCGAATAGGTTTTTATCTATTTTTTATACTCCTAAGTGCTATTGTTTAATAAATCGTAGTTTAATTTATAATTTTTGACCAGGTAGATAACTGTGCAATTGAAAATGACTTTTTAAATGATACAGTTAAAAAACTATTAAAAAACTATTAATTTTATTTTTGGTATTAAGACGGGTATTGCATAAATATTAAACAACAAGATCCCGCAACAGGTGCTAAAACAAACAAGAATGTTAGTTCGAAGGATTAATATGCATATCGATTAATGGTTAGACGTGACCAGGACAAAGTTATTCTACGATATCATGAGCTTTGTCAAAAATTCATGGTCGACATGTAGGGTTGTAAAATTTCATGAAATTTATTTTCATGAAATATATAATTTGAGTGAAAAATAAAAATTTTGTTTCATTTCAGTAAAAATATAATGCTTTATGTTTTATTTTTTATGGAATACTTTTTATATTATTAATTGTATTAAATAGAAATAAAAACTAAATTATATAAATTAACAATTAACACCATATTAGTTTATAGTTATTATAATTTATAAATATTGATTTGAGGTAAGAAACCAATAGTCATTGAAAAACCTGAAGAAATTTTTCAAAATATAGATGAATTTATAAATAAGTTACCAGTAGTCCCACTACTCATCAGCTATCACATTATTTCAGAAGTTTCTCATCAAAAAAATATATCGGCTAGTTTAAAAGTTAAGCACATACTTATAAAATTTATTGTGAATATTGTGAAACACACAATATTATACCAGTATCTGGAAATGTTTTTAAAGAAAGATGAAAATTACAATTCAATATTGTAATACAATATTGAATTGTATTTATATACAAATAATAAATAAAATAAATTATATATATATATATATATATATATGTATAAAAGATAATAAACATAATGTAATTAAATAAATCTAGTTTAATAAAAAATAAAAATTAGCTTCTTTGCATAGTTAAACAAATAACTTATCAGTATAAAATATAAAATCATAATAATTAACCATTAGGTAAATATACATTTTTAAATACTATACCATTGAAAGTATGGAAATTAAAATTAAAATTACTGAACTCATATTATATAAATATATTATTTAAAGATAACAATATAATAAAATAAAAATAAGCTCCTTTGCATAGTTAAACAAATCATAAATTAGGGAAGAATAATTTTCTCATTAATATACTCAAGAAAGTATAGAAATTAAAATTTAGATGGCTGAAGACACTTCAGAAAACTCGACTAGTAACATGTAAATAAATCACAGGCGATTAGAACTATTACTTATTAGACGAATATTATCAAAAGAATAGCTGCTACCGAAATTATATCATACAATATCAACTGATTAAATGACATTTGACAGTCACCATATCAAACGTAAAAAAATATTTTTCAATATTTCATGTGAAATATTTCAAATTTACAACCCTAT